CGCTGCGTTACCCCTAGATTCCACCGGGTCCGTCTGCGGCGCGTTACGGGCGCGTTACGGGCGCGTTACGGCTGCGTGCTCACGGCGATCGCTAAAATTAGGATCGAATCCTATTTTTGTCGCGGTGCAGCCGTAACGTAAGGTCGGGCAGGCAGGAAGTGGAACGTTCAGAGCTATATATACACACACACAAACTAATTTTGCAGACCCTATCCCTCCGTAGTCTTTCAAGTAGGAGGAGAAATGCCAGCGTTCTCCTCCGGTTTACAGGCACTGTGTAAATTATATATATAGAATAATTATGATGATGAATGCATTTTTTTACCACTAAAATACAGCAACACATCTTTGATTCATGTCGTTTATAACTGGAATATTACAGTTATTATTAACTTTGTCTGTACAAAGTAGCCTGTCCAGGAAATATGCCCAAATCAACGAAAACTGCGAGCCGGCAGGCAAGACGCTCCGCTTCTGAAATGCTTCTGAAATGCGCCTGGTAGGGTATGACGCCGGAGGACGCCGGACCAAAACCGCAACGCGGCGCAGACGGACCCGGTGGAATCTAGGGGTAATATAGAAATTAAAATATAGAATGAATTGAATAATGAATAAACAGTGAGGGGTATGAATACACTAGATATACACAGCAGCCTGTGAGCAGTATGAACAGTGTGTATGAATATGCTAAGATATATAAAGTATGAAAACGGTAACCCCTAGATTCCACCGGGTCCGGCTGCGGCGCGTTACGGACGCATTACGGCTGCGCCGCGGTGCTCAAGGTGATCGCGGCCACTCTAGTCAATGGGTGCTATTCCACCACACGCGGCGCGTTACGGCTCAGACGCGTCCCAGAAGCGTCCCAGAAGCGGCTCGGCGCAGGGCTTTTCTAAAATTAGGATCGAATCCTATTTTTGTCGCGGCGCAGCCGTAACGTAAGGTCGGGCAGGCAGGAAGTGGAACGTTCAGAGCTATATAGACCTATATATATACACACACACAAACTAATTTTGCAGACCCTATCCCTCCGTAGTCTTTCAAGTAGGAGGAGAAATGCCAGCGTTCTCCTCCGGTTTACAGGCACTGTGTAAATTATATATATAGAATAATTATGATGATGAATGCATTTTTTTTACCACTAAAATACAGCAACACATCTTTGATTCATGTCGTTTATAACTGGAATATTACAGTTATTATTAACTTTGTCTGTACAAAGTAGCCTGTCCAGGAAATATGCCCAAATCAACAAAAACTGCGAGCCGGTGTCAGTACCATATGTGTTCGCCCTACCATATGTGTTCGGGGTCCGTCGCTTACCAATGACGTCACCCATTGTGATTGGCTGTACGGAATCGTAGTAATCAGCAGCGAACCGCTTCAACACGTGTATTTCAGTGTATTCACGGCATTCATTTTGTTATTCTACAGTATTATTGTTTTATAGTTATTTGTTAATGTAACCCAATTTGTGTTCTTTGAAATTGAAAAGGATATCGCATTGTGTTTGTTACATTCGTTGCAGTTGTATAGGCTATGTGTTAAGTGTAATTTGGCATGTCCTATTTATGGACATGCTTTTATTTTGAAGGAGAGTTAGCGCAGTTGACAGGAAGTTGTTGTTGCTTTAGAAACAACGTGACAGAGATTAACGGAGAAAAGTAATATCTACATATAAAGACGGAGAAAGTAAACGATAACGTTTATGGTTAAGTGTTAGCACCCCCCGAAGAGGCACAAGCTCTTACGTTGATATTGGAGATTTCAATAAATTCAATTTGAAAATAAAACGGGGAAAAAAACCAAAAACGAATATCTGAATAACGAAATTGAAACCCGAATAGTACTCCAACGAACGAATATTCGGATATTTTGGTACAGTAGGGCTGTACCCGAATAATATAATAAAGTTATAGTAAATAATAACAAATTCCAGTGTTAGAATTCCATAATTCCATATTCATAAATAAAATGATATGCAAATAACATTTTCTTGGCTGTGGACTTGTACTCTACATAATTATGTTGAGCTCATGGTAATCTAATTCAATAAACAATAACTGCAATGAACAGATAGCATTTTCTGACTCGTAAAATGATTGGATATGGTGTAATTTGGCAAATGATTCTGTGTTGAAAAATGTATATCTTTAAAAACTGCGTTGGTGTATTAGAGCGGGCCATACTAATTTTTCTTGTAAATCGATCGAGAGGGGTGTTCAAATAACGTATTTTGGTGTGTAGAACACAAATCTATTTAGATGCTTTTATTTTGAAGTTGTTGCTATGGAAACAACATGACGGAGAAAAAAGTAATATCTTCTACATATAATAACGGACAAAGTAAAGAATGAAGTGTATGTTTAAATGTTAGCACCCCCCGAAGAGGCTCAAGCTCTTACGTTGAGTCTGGAGTTTCAATACATTCGGAATTTGACCGTGTAAAATGTCCTCTTGGGTTACCGTACAGCCAATGCGTGACGTCATTGGTAAGCGTAACGGACCCCGAACACATCTGGTAGGCCGAACACATATGGTACCTACACCGGCAGGCAAGACTCTCCGCTTCTGAAATGCTTCTAAAACGCGCCTGGTAGGGTATGACGCCGGAGGAGGCCGGACCAAAACCGCGGCGCAGCCGTAACGGGCCGTCTCCACGGCAGCGTTAAAAAATCTTGAAGCGCTTCTGCCCATTCACTTTGAATGGGGTGACGTCACTTTTTTTCGCTTTCGCCGAAATGCATTGTGGGCAGGCGAGCGGAGATTCTCAGGATTTTCAAGATCCAAAGTTGAACAATGTTCAACTTTTGAAGCTGAGGAGGAAGCGTCAGCCAATCAAATCCCGTGTACGCAAATCTGACAGTTCAAGCTCTAGCCAATCAAACGGCGTGTATGCTGGGAGAGACAGACCGCAGGTCATTTCCTCATATTCCAAAACATGGAGGAGAAATTAGCGGTAGCGAATCAATCACCCGGTGCTTTATGACCAGACCTACCGGGATATAAACCGGAGGAGCCAGGCATGGAGGGAGGTGGCAGAGACAGTGGTATGTTTTCGCCTGTTTTGGGAGTTTATATCCAGTTTACTTCGGGCTTTTTGGCTTCATATGTCGCGGGCGGGAGATTCATGTGATTGGTTGATCGCAAAAAAATCCCCAAGCCTCAGATACGCCCACCTCCAAGATTTTTTTAACGCTGCCGTGGAGACGGCCCGGAACGGGCCGTCTCCACGGCAGCGTTAAAAAAAGCCAAAAAGCCAAAAAGCCAAAAAGCCAAAAAGCCAAAAAGCCAAAAAGCCAAAAAGCCCGAAGTAAACTGGATATAAACTCCCCAAAACAGGCGAAAACATACCACTGTCTCTGCCACCTCCCTCCATGCCTGGCTCCTCCGGTTTATATCCCGGTAGGTCTGGTCATAAAGCACCGGGTGATTGATTCGCTACCGCTAATTTCTCCTCCATTTTTTGGAATATGAGGAAATGATCTGCGGTATGTCTCTCCCAGCATACACGCCGTTTGATTGGCTAGAGCTTGAACTGTCAGATTTGCGTACACGGGATTTGATTGGCTGACGCTTCCTCCTCAGCTTCAAAAGTTGAACATTGTTCAACATTGGATCTTGAAAATCCTGAGAATCTCCGCTCGCCTGCCCACAATGCATTTCGGCGAAAGCGAAAAAAAGTGACGTCACCCCATTCAAAGTGAATGGGCAGAAGCGTTTCAAGATTTTTTAACGCTGCCGTGGAGACGGCCCGTAACGCGGCGCAGACGGACCCGGTGGAATCTAGGGGTAAGCAGTGCAAGTATAGTATCAAATATATAGATATTAATTTCATGATGATAAACATTGTGGAACAATTATGAAAAATGTGAATGGAAGTGGCGACGTAAAACTGACACAAAACAACAAACTTTTGCCGAGCCAATGGAGAGTTTCATCACCAGCACGGGGTAAAAACCACCAATGAGCGCTCAGCTCGAGATACCAGCGAGTCGTTTTTATATATTCCGGGTGTTTCTCAATCGCGAGTACGCTTGCTTGGTAGCACATGTCTGCCGAGCATCTTGCTTCAGAAGCGAGGCAAGAATACTTCCTGGCATTCGGAAAACAAAGAGTGGAACAGGCTAGCAAGTGTGCAGGTGTGCGTCATATGAGAGGCCCTGCCTTACATCTTCCGCCACAGATTTGGGGAAATTGGTCCGTGCGCAAAGCATTGTGGGGATTTTAAGACCGCGGAGTCTACTCATGTGCAGCCTCAATATTTCTCCTAACGAAGTACGCCGGGCTCGGTAGATTTCCAAGTATGCTGGAGATTGGAACAGTACTTCGGCGGCACTCGATGACGTAGTATGCTTGAAATATTGGCTTGGAAGCCAATATCCTCGCGATTGAGAAATGGCCCCACAGTCTATGGTCGTTTCCCATCAAGCATTTTGCTTCCGCAGCCCGTGGAGAGAAACTGCGCCGCCTCGCCGCGCCTCGCTCTCAAGTCTGCGGGCGTCTTTGTCCCGCGAGATTTCAACGTTTCATGTAGGCGAGCCTCCAGAGCAAGTCGGTCTCGCTCATCTCAAACGAGCCTAGTATAACCTGAGGCAGAAAGGTCTGTCCAGCTAATCTACAGGAAAAGGGCAGAGCCACATTAGAAGCCATTCTATCATGGTGAGTTCACGGACTGTTCATAAAAGAAGAAAGTGAGGGAAATGTGGATGCAGACATGGCATGTATCCATAAAGCTAGAAATGGCATGCAGACAGTCCAGTGCATCCAGGTCATTCTATATTTAACAGTTTGTTCAGTGTCCTTTCATTTGTTGAGCTCTTTAGAGCTGGGACATTTCTTACTAAGTGATTCATTTACCTGCACTGCAATTCAAACTGCTTATAGGTATTATAGTATCCAATGCCTACAGACAATCTGTTCATTTGCTCTGTGGTTGTACTCTTGATATTCTGCCTTAAAAGTGTTAATAGAAAAGAAATTGACCTTTTAAAAAAATAAATAAAGCAAGACCCAGGGATTTATAGCAATACATGAAAACACAATTTATGAAAATATAACAATGCTCTTATTGTACCCCTTTTTGGCGCTCCCTATTCATGGCTTCTGCCACTACTTAAACATTGAATGGCAGATTTAGCAGAAGTTTGCACTGGACAACATGGTAGTAAAAAAAAGAAAAAAAGATATACACACTGTTTAAAGGTACTTCATTGGTATAAAGCAGTAGGACTTACTATATGGTACAAAACAATTACATATGCATATCAATCGAACATATACATGTGCAAAAAGTTTACCAAGTTATGATTAAAACAATAAAAAAATACATCTGTTATGTTCAAAATGGTGATTTCAGTAACAGTTACTGTACAGAGTAGAGACCATTCATACATTCAAGCTTTTAGTCAAAGTTGACATTGGGCCTCACAGTTTGAGAGAAGAATACTGGACAGAAGGAATGCAATGTAAAAAGCAGTAACAGAATACACAGACCATAATGGCAAGCAGCTTAACCCTCTGCAGTGTCACACATGTCGTTCATAAAGAATCCTATCCTATGTGATCAAAACTAATCAGTTGAACAAAATAAACTGCTGATACTACGATTTATACAATCATTGAGTCAGCATTAACAATCAACTTCCCCATGAGATTTATCTACAGAGTGTCTATGCCATTGTAAGACCCCAAAACATGCTTGATTTTCATCTTACCCACACTTGGATAAGATCCTATAATTCTTTGCACATTTGGCTATAATCACCAGCTTGCGATTGTATCCCTCCGCCAACCAGTCATTTAACAGATTACATTCGTCCCATTTTATACTTAGCAATTTAATTCTTGAGTTATGGCCCAAACAGTGAACTGTGTATATCAACATTACGAAAGAGGCTTTGGTATTCTTTAAAGAGGCTATAGCTGATTCCTCTGCTTCCACTCTTTGATGTGTTCTGGAGACACAGCAATTAAGTGATCAAAATGGCACAACAAAGCATATTTCCATGAATCTTCATTAAAAAAACGTGATCTGCATCTGGGTTGCTGTGTGTAGCTAAATATAATGGACATCAGGTATAACTGTAGGTTACACCTGGTCCATCACAGCTCTCTGAATACTGAATGTCTCACTTTTTGTGAGGCTTTTCATTGCAGTACACAACTCTTTCTAAAAGACATTGACTGCAGGTCCACCTGTTCTAATGTGATAATGGCTCATTTGCAATTAGAAGGTGTGGGCACAATGAGGGCTTTTTCACCATGTCCAGACACCGTTCCCACCTCAGTCCCCTCAGTTTTGTGTGCAACAGAGCACGTTGTCTTCATGACTTCAGTGTTTAGTTGCTATCGCTCCAGTCCATGACCTTGTTATACTCCTGAATCTTTTGTTTGATATGAGAGAGCTTTTTCTTCAAGTACTCACACCTCTCTCTTTTTTCCAAATATGTTGGATCCTAAAAAGAAAAAGAGAAACAAAGAAATAAAGTGTCTAACTGTCTTTGCCTGTGATGGAATTCCCTTTATATCAGGGATATCAAATAGTCTTGCAGGTTCTCCTTTTTGAAAAATGTTTTGTTGTATATCTTGGACATCATCTATACTGCTTTTTCTTGACTGGATGTTTTCTACTACCGTTCATAGTAGGGCTGCTCGATTATGGCAAAAATCATAATCTCGATTATTTGGGTCAATAATTGATATCACGATTATTAAAAACGATTATTCATTTACTTTGAAAACATCCATTTATTGAAAAGAAATGGAACAGTATGTTTTTAACAGTTGATTACCCTGAACTTTAAGTATAATTCAACTGAAAAACCAATTAAAAAATAAATAATCGTTTTATTTCGATTATGTTGTTTTCATAATCGTTGCAAGCCAAAATCGTAATTGCGATTAATTGAGCAGCCCTAATTCATAGGCATCATACTCTATATGTTTAGCACTTCACTCAGTATATCATTGTCAGCCCATGTATATAAATCAATCAAATAATAAAGAATTGCCTGTATTTGACTTGTCTTTGACATAGAAAAAAAAGAGGGTGAATGCCTTTTTCTAATATTTTCAATAAGTGTTAGTATCAGATGAGGTAAAAATATTAACTGTGCGACATCTTTGACAATCTATGACTTGTTTAGCCAATACTACCACATGGAAAAGTGAATGAGCTTTGTAGCAGTTCCTGTTTGCATTGGCAAGACAACAATCACCTGGCTCCAACACTTTAATACTGAGGAAAAAAGTTTCTAATGAGTCTCAGCCAGATTTTTAACCAACTCTGTCCTGACTTAATTGTTATCAGGTTTATGTTTATCCTCAATAGACATCAAAGATCTAAAAATAAAAATGTAAGTTAAGAGAGTATGTGAAATCCTGAACATCAATTTAATTGTTACTGGAATATTACTGACAATTAAACTTTACAATTTGAAACTTTACAAAAAGACCTTAACCATAAACAGCCCCCAGTGACAGGGGATGGATTGTTGGATGGATCATCACATTTTATGATGTGTACTTACAGCTTTCTTTTTCTGATACTCCATTACAATGTTACTGATCCGCTCCTTCTCCTGAAACAAAATTGGAATGTTACTGGACATATATATACATGTTTGTATGCGTGTGTGTATGCGCGTGTGCGTGCGTGTGTGTGTGTGTGTGGGCGTTACCATTTGGCTGGAAGGCCTGGAGGGGAGATTGTGCATCATCTCGTCCATCTCTCCAAACCTCCTGGCCATGGCCTGCACCTCAGCATGCAGCTCCTTGTACTCGGCGTACTGGTCGTTGAACACAGCCTTGTACTGGTCCCTCTCCTCCTCTGAGCGGATAGTGGGGTACTTCCTGTTGGAGACAACATATGTTTTTGCTTAATTCAAACTAAATTAACATAAGTCTTCAGCAGTCTGAGGAAGGGCATGCACCAACGCCAATAATCATACAATTCCACTACGCTCAGGAAATAGCTGCCGTTGTTCCAAAAGACATTGTAGCAGTGCCCATCTTCTACACAGCAAGCATTATCACATCTACCCGGACTACACTTCCTCCCCTTCACTGAAGTCCAGGGCATACTTCGCTGGTGCCCCGGTGTGAAATATGCTCTACTATATCCAGCCACACTTAAGATAATAACCTCAGCTTTGAAGACCAGACCAAGGCGAGGCACTATATTGAGGCAAGTTGCGACCGCGGGAGACAGACAGAGAGTGAACGTCAACATGGGGGCCATGGCAGGTACTGTTGGAGCTACATGATGATGTTGCAGCCTGTGGTACAAGCTGGATAAATGATTGCAGGTCTATTGTGTTAAAGGTTGCTTCAGCTTGCAGTAATGGCAATAGTTGGAGAAGGGCCCTGTTCCATTTTGTTCTGCCCTTGCACAGTTCATGTGAGAGTTTGGGTTAGTCTGGAAGTGTCATATGCCTAGAAGAGGGATGCGTGTTTATTCGGCTTGTAGGTTTAAGGAAGACCAGCCCAGGGATCCAGGATGGTACGAGTTTTTCTTTGTTACTTTTTGTGTTTTTCATGTTTTTGTTTTACTTTTGTTTCACTTCTTAACCCAAACATAAACATTTGTTCTCAGATTTTGCTAACACCCAAGACCAGACCAGACTCAGTTGCAGAGCTATGATTGCTGGTAGATACTGTAGATAAAAAACAAGGTGCAATTTCTTTCGTCAGCATCCATCTATCATTAACACTAGAACCGCCAACGGGGTCAATTTGACCCCGAGCTGTTTTATATTTGATGTAACTTTTTTTCAATAAAATATTAAAGTCTCCCAGTCCGTGACTTTTCCTGAAAGTGTGTTATGTACCACCCTCTGTTGTTAAAAAGTGTCAATATGAAGTCAGATTGAAGAAATCACCCAAAAAATTGCCATTTATACCTATTTCCGCCAAGCGGGTCATATTGACCCCACCCCTTTTCATATAAACATGACGTGTTGCTATAGCAACGCCTTTTGTCTACTGCGGTTCCTCCTTATAGATTGAGAGATAGATTGAGAGAGAGAGAGATAGATGGATAGATATATTGATAGATAGTTATAGAGAGAGAGAGAGAGAGAGAGAGAGAGAGAGAGAGAGAGAGAGAGAGAGAGAGAGAGAGAGAGAGAGAGAGAGAGAGAGAGAGAGAGAGAGAGAGAGTCTGTAGTGAGGGAGTGTGCTCCCGCTCACGGGAAACTGCTCGCACTGCGCTCCGCAGCAAACAGCTGTGGGGCGAGTTGAAAGTACGTTATGCTGGTCTAAATAATGCTTCCGGCCCAGCGGGCCATTTATAATGTCGAGCCCTGAGAGTCCACAGATTATATTGGTATACGTTTCATCCCTGTGCGATCAAAACTCTCTGTTCAATAAAAGAACATTTTACCTTGAAAATCAATGCATTCTAATAGCGGGTCAATTTGACCCAGGTGGCGGTTTTAGGTATAAAAAATCTCTGGCGGTTCTAGTGTTAAGGCCCTACATGATAGATGTCCACGCTCCCAATTCAGAGTAGCATAAGCTAAACAGGTAAATCTGGGTCATTTGTGTAAGGATGTATCTCATCTGCTTATTTGTTTATCTGTTATTCATTATCATCATTATAATATATTAATTATGTATTTTCCTTATTATTTATTTTTGATGTATACATGTTCTACGGGCATGTATGAATAAATAAATATCATATCTATTTTTTTTTGTTGAGAATCATCTGTTGATAAGACGACACATTTGTAGACATGTCTGTTTGTATTTACAGTATGTGTACATATGTAACCTGCTTAGGGTTGGGGGTTTACAACTTTTGTCATGAATGCTCAACCATTTGGATAACAAACTGATATAAAAGTCACTATATATTTTTAGAGTCACAATCTTTTAGTACAAACTTCCTTGCTTGTCATTTCCCGTATAGTGTTTCCCTGCTAAGCTGCAAATGGACAAGCAGTTACAAAAAGAGAGGATTAGATACTAAAAAGTCTGTAATTTGGACAATATCTACTTGTTTTGTCAAACTAAGATTGCTGAAGACATTCACTTCATTAGATTAACTCTGTGATGCTTTCCCCCCATTACTTACAGTAATCTATACTATAGCACATAAGGAAGACATCTCCCAATGTCCAGTATGAAGGTGGTATGAATACTGCAAGTAAAACATGTTTCAGTAAACATACTGTAAAAGCAACTGTCTATTGTTTTAGTACAGATCTGAAACCTATGTGTACCTTTTCTATACTTGCATTTTGAACCAGATCATTTATAATAAATTCAGATCTTTTTTGCATGGTTGGCCTTGGTCTGACACTACCAAACCTTTTGAAGAATGTTGGTGGTTAAAGCTGTACATGTTGCAGTGTTAGACAGTGTAATATACGAACACAGTTCAAAGATTCCACCACATTTGGTCAATGGAGACTTATAAAGACCTGTGGATTCTGTGAGGTGTTTCAGTAAATAACAAAAATACTAATAAAATGAAGTATATTTGATCAGACCTGCATTTATATAGAGCTTTTCTACTCTCCCAGCCCCTCAAAGTGCTTTAACACACATGACCACATTTGTTTATTCACACACATTCATACACTGATGGCAGAGACGTAAGCAGTATAAAACAGTAAAACGGTAACAAAATGTTAAATATATATCAAGTTAATTTGAGAGATTTTGAATAGTTATTGCTTTTCAGTACTTCCTGTGAGAATTTGTTGGTGTTTCAAAAATCTACATGAAATATACACAAAAGGCTAAATTGTAGCAACTTATTTTAACACTCACGCAACATAGTCGGCTATGACGACAGGTTTGGGGATGTGTCCAGCTGGAATGTGACCTCTGAGGAACTCTGGCTCCAGCGACATCCGAGGAGCAGCTGAAGAGTTGTCCATGATGTCAGGCTGGAGGGTGGGCAACGGGGTCTGCTCCGAGGCTCTGGAGGCTGGACCCAGCTACAGTACATAAAGGTTTGTGAGCTCACTTAATTTACACTGTGTAACATTCAATGTCTGCAATTGAAAAAAGCATTGATACTTACTATGGAGAGAGGGACTGATGATCCAATGGTTTTCATCTAGGATTATGGGAAGAAGAGATGGGGAATGATTATTTAGATGTTCAATCTAGTCCAAGTTCCATCAGGGGTTTCTCCTAATGAGGCTGCTCTAACACTTTATCTTTCTAAATCAAATAACATTTCAGCTCAATGTTATATTAGTCATAACATGTTTTAGCCACCTCAAATTAGGCCCAACAGAAACAATATCAGTTTAGGTGTACGCCATAATTAGAATGTTTTTACAGCTTTACCTTGCTGTGAGACACTCGTATCCATTAGGGAACTGAAGCTTATATCCATCTACCCTCTTCCCAAAGACACCAGACTCCATTGAACAAACTGTACAGAGAAGGAGGGAGTTGCTGGTCCAGTGCTGCCTTTGTTTTTTTTGTTACTATGTGACTTTTGCCAAAGCAACACAACATACTAAAACTAAAATGTTCTCAATATAGTGTGAGCCTTTCTTTAAAGTGTTGCTTATGTGTCCCAGTCCACAGCAGTATATTGCTCAGGTTTAATGGGTAACCCCTGGCTGTCATTATCTACACAGGCTATAGATACAACCTTATTTGTCATTTGAGGTCTTAACTGAACTGTTTTCAGCTACTACTGTGTGTGTGTGTGTGTGTGTGTGTGTGTGTGTGTGTGTGTGTGTGTGTGTGTGTGTGTGTGTGTGTGTGTGTGTGTGTGTGTGTGTGTGTGTGTGTGTGTGTGTGTGTGTGTGTTGTGTGTGTGTGTGTGTGTGTGTGTGTGTGTGTGTGTGTGTGTGTGTGTGTGTGTGTGTGTGTGTGTGCGCGCGCGTGCGTGCGCGCGCGCGCGCGCGTGCGTGCGTGCGTGCGTGCGTGCGTGCGTGTGTCAGACCTCGTGTGCGAGACCTTCCTTCTTCATCCTGGCTGCCTCATGTCTCCACAGCTTTAGACACACTCCAGCACCAATGAAGTAGAGTGCCATGGTGAGGAAGAGGAAGACCATGGCTGCTGTTTGGCCGGCTTCAGTGCGACAAAATGCCCCATTAACTCCATTATTGAAGACTGGCATGTTGCACAGCCCCCCTCGAGTGGTGTCCCTCACATACACTATCCCTGCTGCTAAGTAGAGCACCCCCAACACAAGGTTGATGGAACACTCTGTGACTGGCCACCAAGAAGAGTCAAGAAGTATGGCTCTGTAGTATATTGTCATCCCAAGAACGAGCAAAATAACAGTCACTATCCACGCTAGACCAGCCACCACTAGGACAAAAGGTGTTTTGGGGCCTGTGTAGTAACCATCACCATGTCCATAGGCACTGGCACCTCCACCCAGCCCCCCAAACATCTGTGGCTGGGAGTATCCATACATATTGAACCACTCGTTGTCCTTATGAACATAAGCACAGACGCAGGCAAACACAGCAGCTCCCAGCAGCAGCTCCACACAGCCCAGGATCCTCAGCAGGCCAGCCCAGGACTTCATGTAGGCGTAGCGCTGGTGGTACTCCTCCACCCGCTCCAGGTAGGTCAGAGCCGAAAGATTGGTAGGCACCGCAGACGCAGAGTCAAGAGCTTCAGCACCAAGCAGCAGCCCGTCTCTCTCCTTCTGAGATGTGTAGCTTCCCCCAGAGCCGCCGTAGGGGTCCCGATATGACCCTTGAAGATAAGGAGATGGGGGGGGGGAGTTGGGAGGTGAACAGGGGACTCCTGCTGTGGTGCGGCAGTTGGCGCTCTTACTAGAAGAGGGGGCAGGGGAATAAGAGGCAGGTAGATGTTGTGAAGGAGGGGGTAGGACCCAACCCATGCCGTCACCGTTCCCGCTGTTGCCACGGAAGAAATTCTTGACCGAGTCAGGAACGAAGCGGCGAACCGGCTTCATATCCATGGCATCACAGTCATCCTCCATTGGCTCATCATGGTAAGGGGGGGGGAAGGATTCTAGCCCAACTGCTGGCTGTTCAGGTAGCGGAGGAGGGGGAAGTGGGTCTAAGCTCACTGCTGGTACTGTTCCATGCAAGGGTTCCGGGGGGGGTGGAAGATCCAGGTCATGCCATAATGAGCCCACAGGGACCTGGTCATAGTGTGGGATGTCCCGCAGCCGGTCGAACCTGGACACAGAACCGACTCCTCCTGCAGACATCTGGACCTGGAACGGCTCGCTACAGAGGGAAGTGGAGAGGATTACAACTAGGGATTCGACATAATTTTTTCAGCCAATAACAAAAAGCAGTAATTACCAATAACTCAGGGCCAATTCCGTTAACAGATATTTTCACAATTGGATTTGTTATTCCATAGCTGTCGCTTAACGTTATCTATCATAGCTAACTTATACTATTCTTAAATGCAAAATAATACAAAGTACAGAACCAGTTCTACCAGTGTCTCTGTGTTTAGGGGCTGTACATTTTGGAAGCAATTTAACTTCATTGGACAAAATTGTATATTTCCAATATGTATTGTGCATCCCTAATTAAAACTCACTGCTGTTACTTAAAGGTCCCATGTCATGCTTTTCGGGTTATTACCCGTCCCCTTGTGTGTTATGTAGCTTTTTCTGCATGTAAACGGTCTGCAGAGTACACCCTGTAGCGAGTAAAACTCTTAACACAGAAAAGACCTGTCTATGCTGCCCCAGAACGCCTCGTTGGACATTTCTCTTTTTCTTCCTGGGCAAATGGACCAATTCGTGGAGCTCCACACACACACACACACACACACACACACACACACACACACACACACACACACACCACACACACACACACACACACACACACACACACACACACACACACACACACACACACACACACACACACACACACACACACACACACACACACACCACACAACACACCACACACACACACACCACACACACACACACACACACACACACACACACACACACACACACACACACACACACACACACACACACACACACACACACACACACACACACACACACCACAACACACACACACACACACACACACACACACACACACACACACACACACTCTCAGTGGTGAGACTGTGACGCGCTGGGGGGGGTGCTAGTGGAGCCTCGCAGCTGCGAAACTGTGGCGGCTTACACTGTAGGTGCGCCGCGTTTGGGGGTGCGGGTGCTAGTGGAGCCTCGCAGATGGGGGTGCTGCAGCACCCTCAGCACCCCCCCCTTCCCGCGTCCATGGTGCTCAGGCTTAGTTCAGGCTGAGTTTCGCTGTGTCTCGCTGTCTCGCAGACCCCAAGCAGCAACCAGGAAATTACACCAGTATGCCAGCTCACACTGTCCGCTCCTCACAGCAGCGAGCCCCGCAACGTCCCGCCCACACGGCACCCAGACACCACGCAGCATTCTCATCTGTTTGTCATTACTGGTGTCATTTCCTGGTTGCTAACGCCATTGTAACACATAATCACTGATGTTCCGCTGTAACGGTGGTAGACCATAGTGGTAGACTCATCAGAACAGAGTGGACGAGCTGACCAATCAGAGCACACTGGGCTCATAGGGAGGGGGGGGGAGGGCAGGAGCTCCAACAATCTGTGTAGGACAGAGAGTGAATACACATACTATACAGAGATGCTGTATGAGAAACCAATGTGAGTTTGGAAAATTGCACAATATAAATCTATTCTAGTAGACCTCAACAATGGAATTATGATCAGTAGAAATGGCCATGACATGGGACCTTTAAAAATATTTTTAATTTGCAGTATTTTATTTGAAAAGTGTTCAGAAAGACTGCATCAATGATATGCTATATATTTATATATCTATATAATATCAATATTGTTATTAACTTCAACCAAAGTCAATTTAAATAGCGGGCAAAAATGGGTTAATTGCCATGGATGTGGGGTTTGATATAGTTTACGTTCAATTTCAACTATTTTAGGCAGAAAAACGTCTATAGACTAAACCTTTTTTAATAATTTACTCTAATTTAGAAAGGTTTTTGTGACAAATCATTTCAAAAGTAAACTTCTTTTCCTTTTGTGTTTAAATTTGAAATGTTTGCACACAACATTATAATTTATACATTTTTATAAATGTTTTTTAATTATGAATCCATTTATTTTATTGTATTTCCTTGAGGCTGGGGAAGATATATCAGCATGTAGTTCAACATGCAAATGTTCTAATACAAGTAAGTATATAAGTATAACATGGACAAGTAAATAAACTAAGTTTAGTGGGAGGATGTGGATTTATTTTCTCTCACCTTGTAATTACACATCAAACAATCTATAATTTAGCTCTGGCCTTCACTCACAAAAATCCTTTTGTTGAATTGGACACCTTTTTCGAAGCTCTATTGACTGACATGCAATGACTGGGACTGATGGAAGAATCTGCGAGGATTGAACTAGGAGCAGAGAAATAATCCTATTGTAAGGCCCGGACACACCAGCCCGATTTTGGGAGTCAGAGGCCGTCAGAGGCCGTCAGAGGCAGTCGGGCATTCGCGGCGCCCTACTCAGGTTTGTGTGTCCCGCACCGTCGTCTCTTTACGGCACCTTTTCACACCTCCCGACGCCTCCCGCGGCTGATTCAACATGTTGAATCGGCCGCGGGAGGTCAGAGAAAGTCGGGACAAGCAATCACTCTGATTGGCTGTTCACACTACCGCTGCCTGCTGATAAGGACAGTTATTGCCACTCGTCGACTGAAGTATTTGCGGTGTGTTCGTAGGCGGGCGGCGTAGCCGACGCAGGCGACGTAGCTGACGTAAAAGTCGGGACGCCTTCGGTACGCGTTCTTTGGTCTCAGGTGGGTGTGTAGCGGCCTTAAAAGACAGCAGCCCCATAAAGCTGGCTACACACCAACCCGATTTTGGGAGTCAGAGGCCGTCAGAGGCAGTCGGGCATTCGCGGCGCCCTACTCAGGTTGGTGTGTCCCGTACCGCCGTCTCTTTACGGCACCTTTTCACACCTCCCACAGGAGGTCAGAGAAAGTCGGCCCAAGCAATCACTCTGATTGACTGTTCACACTACCGCTGCCTGCTGGTAAGGACAGTTATTGCCACTCGTCGACTGAAGTATTTGCGGTGTGTTCGTAGGCGGGCGGCGTAGCGGGCGGCGTAGCCGACGCAGGCGACGTAGCTGACGTAAAAGTCGGGACGCCTTCGGTACGCGTTCTTTGGTCTCAGGTGGGTGTGTAGCGGCCTTAAAGGCCCTGACACACCAAGCAGTCACCAGAGAACTCGCCGACGCCGACTGTTGCGTCGCCGTGTTCTCCTGTGTCTTGGCCATGTGTCGCACTGGAACACACCGCAAAGACTTCAGCCGAGCACGTACGAACTGCGCATGCGTGAGTGGCAATAACTCTCCTTACCAGCAGGCGGCGGTAGTGTGTATTCGTCATTCAACAACCGGAAGACAGAGAAGAAGAACAGACTGCGTGATCTAAACAAACAACATATAGCGTGTGCGTTCCATTTTCACTCTCGTCCATCGAAAACATGTTTCGTGCGGTACTGGAGCTATCAGCCATTGGAGTGTTGCTTGTGGAAGACATTCTCAAGCAACCGTTTCGCTTCTCATGCACTGATTCGCTAGCTGAACAGCCAATCAGAGTGATTTCTTGGTCCGACTGCCTGTGTCCGACGCACGGCCGATTCAACATGTTGAATCGGCCGTGCGTCGGCCGTGAAAGGCCAAATAAGGCGTGTCACGGCCGACGGTTCGGGACACACCAAATTGAGTTTGGGCGACAGGGCACGCTTCGTCGTCCGACTAACGAAGACGGCCGATTTCGGCCTGGTGTGTCTGGGTCTTAAGAGGCCAACAAGAGTCACAAGGGTGTGTCACTTTGCTGAAGGATAGACCAGCTATCCAGGCCAGTCTAAAGACTTTCCAAGGGGTAAAATGCTGCTGCTGGAGTACTGACTGGAAGTATTGCTGATATCAAGTCTACCATATCCTCTTAAAATACTCTGTCCAACAATATCAGTCTCATGAGAAAAGTGTTTTAAAGGAGAGGTGTCATGCTTTTCCGGTTATTACCCGTCCCCTTTTGTGTTATGAAGGTTTTTATGCATGTAAACGTGTGCAGACTCAAAACCCTCAAAGTACACCCTGTAGCGAGTAAAACTCTAACACAGAAAATACCTCCCCAAAACGCCTCGTTGGAGATACGTCATTCTTCCGCGTCGTACCCGGAACGAAATGGACCAATCGCACCTCCACGGAGCTCAGCGCGATTCACAACGTCCCGACCAATCAGAGCACACTGTGCTCACAGGGAGGGTGGGGGCTGGAGCTTTTGGAGCTACAACGAGCCGTTAAAGGCAGAGAGTGAAATTCAGTGAATAAAAGTAGTTTACAGAGATGCTGTATGCGAAACCAATGTGATTTTGGAAAAATGCACAGTATAAATCTATTTTAGTATACCTCAACAATGGAATTATGATCAGTGGAAATGGCCATGACACCTCTCCTTTAACGCTTATTCAAAATAGCAAAGAAACATGCATTCTTGTACTCAGGAGGGGACATTGACAGAGGATTACTCAAAAAGTACACAGTAAAAGTACTTCATAGTACTTGTGGGAATTGTTTCACTAGTACTGAGTCCAACAGTGTCAATCTCAAGAAGAACTAATGGCAGAAAAAATAATAACAAACTCGAGAGACGGCTGAGTTGACCGCAGTGCAGAATCGCTGCATAGTTTAAATCTCCTAACAATGTTGTCAATTTTAGACATAGGCTTATTATATTTACAGCCCTTAATAACATTCATTTTCTGGGCTCAATATGTGTCTTCTTGGCTATTTTCGTTGTGATCGCTAAATTCACCTTGTTTATAATATTATCACAGTTCCAAGCACACGAGTGCTTTTGTTTTGAAATCACTTCCGCGAGTTTCGCCCCGCCCCTCGCTCCAATGACCATTAGAGTAAGGTAAAAAGCAAAAAGGCCTCTCAGACGCTCTTCCGTTTACTTGTTTAATAAAGAAAAACAAATGGACGGTAGATAAACGGATTATTGTACTATGTAAATACTGTATATCTTTACCCGTTTAGTCCTAAAAATAACAAAAAAATAACTGTACATTTGAGCAGTTTAATAGCACCCTGTAGTCGCAAATGTAATGTTAATCAGTAGGTTATATGTTGGTTTACTTTAAAAAGTGTCCAAACATTTACTGACGTTGTAAGATCCGGATGAAATGTCAGTGTGCGATATTAAAACATTTGGCCACTCCTAGAAACAGATGTCTCTGAATGTAGCCACATAATAAAACCGGTAACAATGTGTTAACAAAATAAAAATAAAGTCAAAATCAACACAACAAATGTGACATATATGTCTATCGTCTTTTTTAACATTAGAAACAATGAATTTGTTACTTAGACGCTGACTTACCTGGCGATAACTCCTTGTGTATTTCTCTCAGTGAAACAGGTACTACTGCCCCCTCCTTTGTTCTCCAACACTCTCACACTGATCTCAGGTCAGAAATCAATGAGCTCCGGTCTAACCCGGGTTAATTAGCGGGAAAGAAAACTGATCCCAGATCACCGCGTGGAAACTCACCTGGCCAGTCTGACCAGCCTCACGGTGCGTTCATTGTCCCCTCTAAAATCCGTCTACCCACTTTCGAATGTATATGTACATAAACATTAACCGACATTCATAATTCCAACACACAATCATTTCTGACAGTTTTTTTTGGATTGTTAAATTGGTCTATGTTTTGAATATTTTATTTATTTTTTAATTAGGTTTAGCTATCTGATCGAGAAGCTATGGTTCTTATCACTGTAAGATAGTTAAAATATACATTTTTAACATTTGGTCTGCTGATATGTATTACTTATTTTAGTTATCTTTGAGAGTTCACTTTATATGTTGGATGTTAGTTTAACTTTTCTTTGTTTGATTTCAGATCTATGTTGTTTTATTCTTTTTTTAGTATTATATTGATAGACGCTTTATAGCGACATAGTTCCTCTTTTGACAAAAACTCCGAATATTGTTTTAAAACGTTCCTTCTGAACGGCTTTGCTGCGGGGAAAGCGTGTCTATTTTATTCCTTTTGACTTAATTACTGCTAAATGAATACAGGATGATCAAATATATTTTTGTCATATTAGATTCCGACTTCCGGGGTAACCACACACACACGCGCACACACACACACATTCTTGTTTGACCAATCATATGTCTGCACACACTTCCGTATTTAGGACTTGTCAAGCTGTGATTGGTTGAAATCAGCAGTATCGTTTGAAAGTGCCCGATTGTGAATGGGCCGTTCATCTTTTGTGAGTCTCTCGCCGATAAGAGACACATCTCCACACAGAGATGGAGATACTTCACGTTTTACACGTTTTCGTCCGATCACTGATGTTTCTGCTGCTGTGGTCAAAGTGTGAAGGAAGAGAGTCGGAGCTGAACCACGTGACCTGCGGCTCTCTGCTCAAACTGCTCAACACCAGACACAACGTCCGTCTGCATTCCCACGATGTCAAATATGGCTCAGGTAACTTCACGCGGATATCACATGTAATTAAGACTTATTTCACATGTAATTAAGACTTATTTCATTGCGATGAGCATAGAGCAGTGTGTTTCTCTCTCCAGCTGCAGCACATGCAGTTCGTAGAGATACTTCACCAATCTGACAGCTGCCTTGCTCATGTACAAACACCCCAAAACGGCAACATATAGCAAATACCACAGTATAGCAGCTCTTCGGTCGTGACAGTGTTGGACTGGGTGTGTGTGGAGCATTGTGCAGCCTCCCTTTGTGTGTGCCCTGCAGACACCTGTCTCTGCCCCCGTGGAACCACGAGCTGGACATTTCATCAAAGTGCCTCCTTTGGAGCTCCTACTGCTGTCAGTTGAAAGGTTTTATTCAGTTATTAAAACAAATTACATGTTTTGCAAATGTTATAATACATTAAGTATATGAAAACTAATCCAGTTAGAGTAGTAACAATATGCTAACTGATAATGTACACAACTGCTAATCTTCTCTGGCACAGAAGAATCACTTTCCTGTTTAATTTGACTACCTTCATTTGTTGTAGTACATTTCCTATGAACTCTTCAATGCACATGACATTGATGTTGACATTCATTTGCTCTCAGGCATTCTGCTTCTACCTTATGCCCCTCCCCATTTTTTCACATCTGGTTCAACTGCATTTGTTTTTATTCTTATTGTTAGTGCCTGAGCCTTGTGGCAACAGGAAGTGACTGTTGCCTCACTTTGACTGGGATCTCTCAGCAGGTTAACTAGTTCACCCACGTCAGCGACACATTGTTCGCCATGAAACATTAATTTACTTTTAATGGCTTAGGGGTGCATGCACAAGCACAACGCTTGGGACACACATCAACAGTAATACACATAGTTTACTAATATGATATTGTGTTTCGGTGTGGCAAAGGGGCTCATTGTCACACCTGCTTAGAAGTAACCCTGATACGCTTTGGGAAGCGAGGGCCTGTCCATCGCTCCTTGTCGCTTTAATATTATTGTACATTCTCAGCTTCACTTTGGCAGTTGGATGCTTGTACATTACCTCAGCCATCTGTGGCTAGTGAGATAGTAAACATTAGCTTTCTTACTTACTTACAGCTCGGACCTGTGTCTACCCTTCTGGCAGTGTGAGTAATTATTAAAAACATTGTCTACCATGTGTACACCAACCCTCACATAGTCTGCCTCTCCTCAGAGCTCCAAACATGCATTATGTGCGCTAATCACATATTGGGAATGTGAATGGTTTCTTTCTCCCCTGAAAAATAATTAAAACAAGTAACAGACAAAGAATAAATGTTGTGTGTACAAATTCAAAATCCAAATATGAAAATGTATAATGTGAACGTATATAAAAAAAGGTGGATGCAGGAGGGTTTTAAAAGTCTTCTAGGTCTCGCAAATGTGACAACAGCCACAACTCTGATCCAGACATAACCATTAAAACTGGCAACCTGCCAGGTGAGGGACACAAAAGCTCCGGATTCTGAGATAGTGACATGAATAATTAGGTAAATTAGTGCATAGAAATGGAGAGTAATTAAAAAAATATATACATAAACAAATGACTGCATACTAGGGCTGTGCGATTATGGCAAAAATCATAATCACGATTATTTGGGTCAATAATTGATATCACGATTATTAAATACGATTATTCATTGAAAAAATCAATTTATTGAACTTTAAAACAAATACAAATAATAATTTGAACAGTATCTTTTTACAGGGTTCCCGCGGGGTCTTAAAAAGTCTTACATTTGATAATCTGAATTTAAGGCCTTAAAAAGGTCTTAAATATGACCAAAAAAATAAGAAAGGTCTTAAATATGATTTAGATGGTCTTAAAAATGATCGGATTTGAAAGGTACTTCTGTGTTGAGATCGCGTCTAAATGTGTTTTGGGGGAAATGTCCGGGCTGCAAAGTAACCAGTACGGTAAGAGCCTTTCAGTTCCCCCCAACAATTTGTATTGAAATAAATCAACATGGAACCAGTAATCACTAACTTTGTTTCCCCCGGCCCCTTATTGGAGAACACCCAGCTAGTAACCTAGCAACCAAGCTTCAGCTAGCGGCAGTCCGAAACTCATGTATCATGTGTACTCATGTAAACTCATGAATCTACTTAAAGATAAATATGGGGAAGTGTAAGTTCAACCGTATTTGGTTGGAAAACATCGAATTTAGTGCTTGGTTGAAACCAGTGGAGGGGAACGTGTTTGAAGCCCGCTGCACCTTTTGCAAAAGAAATTAGCGTATGCTAATGTCCGTTAGCTAGTGCAGCAGCTCCCGCAACAACACCGGGGGACCTCTGGGCGACGTGTGGGTGTATGTCAACCCTAAAAGCGGAGGTGCTGTAGACGCTAAATACCGTAGCTAAACACCGCAACGATGAAAGATTGTAGCCAAGGCAGCAGAGCTCTGAATATAGCTCTTGTCACTCTCTCTCTCTTTCTCACACACACACACACACACACACACACACACACACACACACACACACACACACACTAGGGCTGCTCGATTATGGCAAAAATCATAATCACGATTATTTTGGTCAATAATTGATATCAAGATTATTAAATACGATTATTCATTGACTTTGAAAACATCCATTTATTGAACTTTAAAACAAATAATAATTTGAACAGTATCTTTTTAACTGTTAATTACCCTGAACGTATAATTCAACTGCAAAACCAATACAAAAATAAATTATACATTTAAATAAATAATATCAAAATAATAAATACCAATAAACAAGATCAACAAATATTTTGGAGCGCACTTCCACAAGCTATTAAACATATATAAATATGATGAATAAAAATAAATTAGACTAAAATTAATTAGATCAAATATGTTGTAGTGCACTGTCACAACCTAGCAAAGCAAAATAATTTCGTAATTGTGGCAGGCCAAAATCGTAATTGCGATTTTAAAATACGATTAATTGCACACCCCTAACACACACAAGCGCACACACACACACACACACATACACTTTTTGTCTAACACGCTAACACAGTTCTGTACTGTTATGCCTTTACATTTACTTTGTAAGTAATTATGGGACGTATTTCTTCTTTCATAGCAATTTTCCTTCATACTTTCTTGCCGTGAAATAGGTCTTAAATTCTATTCAAAGTGGTCTTAAAAAGGTCTTAAAAAGTCTTAAATTTGAGTAGGCGAAACCTGCAGGAACCCTGTTTTTAACTGTTGATTACCCTGAATGTATAATTCAACTGAAAAACCAATACAAAAATAAATGATACATTTAAATAAATAATAATAAATACCAATAAACAAGATCAACAAATATTTTGGAGCGCACTTCCACAAGCTACTAAACGTATATAAATATGATAAATACAAATAAATGAGACCAAAATTATTTAGATCAAATCTGTTGCAGTGCACTGTCACAACCTAGCAAAGCAAAATAATAGTTTTTTTCGTAATTGTGGCAGGCCAAAATCGTAATTGCGATTAAAATACGATTAATTACACACCCCTACTGCATACAGATGAATGCAAAGATAAATAGAAGAAGACACAACAACACAGCTACAGGTAGAGTAAAAAAAATAACTAGTGGCAGTAGCCGGTGTGTCAGGGAATGCTAAAACGTGTACATACATCTCGAATCCTACTTAAAAGACCTAAAGACTAAGATTCCGCCTACAGGACCCCACATGACCATCAACAAACATTTATTGTCTATCATGCTCATGATTATATAACAGACCACAAGACAAATCTATAAAATATATACCAGCCAATTTATCACTACAACTATAAAATTACAATTCATTTAAATTAGGACCTCAAATCACAGTCAAATGTATGTTGGCAAGACTGGTTGCTCAATATCTATATTTATGCACCATTGGAAAAAGAGTGAGAGGTTTGAACGAATATTCTAATGCTTGATGTTCATAAATGAAGAGTGGATTGTGCGCATCAGTGGATTGAATCTGTCTTTTGCCAAGTTGGTATCCAAGATTACGCCTACATATTTGACCTATTTAATTTTTGTTGATTATTTTTCCCTTTACACTTCGCGTTAGATGCATGGATTTGTTTTTGTTTATTAGTCAAATAAATTGTCACCTTTTTTGTATTTAAAGTAAGAAAGTCGCTTAGCCATTGAGCAACTTTGTGCAGCGTTACTGAGAACTTAGTAGAAACCTGTTCAGCATTTTCACATGAGTCTGATGACCGTGTCATCGTACATCTGCATGTCCACATCCTCACAGACTTATGGTGACTGTTAATATGTATGCTGAACAACAGTGGTCACAAAATGTATCATTTATACGAACACATTGAGAACGACCAGATAAATAGGACCTTACCCATTTTAGTGTGCTAACAGGCAGTTTGAATTTGGACTGCTTGGATAAGAGTTTTTGATGACTTACTGTGTGAAAAGATTTATGGAGATCAAGAAAAATGGATCTTCTTCTTCTTCTTCTTCTTCTTCTGCTGATCAAGAAACAATACCGCTCAATTCATAGCACAGCCATGTGTGAACAAAGTTTTACCACTGAACGCAATGCCCTTCACTTCTTTGTGTGTGTGTGTGTGTGTGTGTGTAGGCAGTGGACAGCAATCTGTAACTGGAGTTGAGATTGCGGATGATGCCAACAGTTATTGGCAGATTCGTGGAAAGCCCAACCGTCCCTGTCAGCGGGGGGAGGCCGTCAAGTGTGGTCAGGGCATCCGCATCACACACATGAAGACTGGGCGAAACCTCCACACACACCACTTCAGCTCACCCCTGTCTAATAACCAGGTCAGACTCACTTTTTACATGTCTTTCACATTTCAAAAGACATGGACATTTATAGAGCCCTGTGTCAAAGAAGAAGATCTCTAAGATTATGGATACACGTATTATTGAGTACTTTGTTGACTAGTTGTACTGTTCTTGTCTTTCCTTCCCACTGTGTGGCTTGCAGGAGGTCAGCGCTTTTGGAGAGAACGGCGAGGGAGACAATCTGGACGTGTGGGCGGTCCAGTGTGATGGCATCCACTGGGAGCGCGAGGAGGATGTGCGCTTCAAACACGTGGGCACCGACGTCTTCCTCAGTGTGACCGGGGAGCAGTACGGCCACCCCATCCGCGGCCAGAGGGAGGTGCACGGCATGAGTTCTGCTAACCAGAACAACTGGTGGCGCTCCATGGAGGGCGTCTTCCTGCAGCCCAGCCAGATGCCGCTGCGCCACGATGAGCTGTGAGCCACCGGCATGACGACGAACATAGGAGCTTCAGAAAAGTGGAAGGTTAATAGCTTTCCTGGACCAAACCACGTCATGTTTGAATAATGTCAAATTTTAGACTGATGACTCCTCTCTGTTCATGTAAAGCACTCTGGGTGGTCAGAGGCCATAGAATTTAAGATTTCACAACAGTTTAAAGAAGATCGATATAATGTATGTAGTGGAGCCATATGGACTATATCAGTTTCTTCCCAAGTACATTTCTTAAGGGAGAAAACACAAAAAGGCTGAATTACCAGCTAGGCACAGTAACCACTAACTGAAAGACCCACATTCACTGTTTACTGTACACATCTGAAAAACTATATCAATTGAAATGTTGAAAGGGCCCTGTGCCAAATAAAACCTTCGTTTTAGTGCAAATGTTGCCTGTGTGATGTAAAAAACGTTATCAATCAATCATTGGCTGGTGTTTCTCTTGGTTCTGGAACACCTTTTGATGTTAAGCTCATGTTCATGTTTAATTTGTGATCTTGTAAACATTTTTAAATAGTGGGGATGTTTTCAGAAATAATGAGTTGAATGTCTTTTATTTATCAGTAGTTGGTGGGAAAACTGCCCACTTTCACTCCCAAGTCATGCGGCAGACAATCTGCCTCTGTTAGAGTTCTATAATTCACTGCACCCCCTTTTGCGTGTTTGTGTGACAGTGAGTGGCTTGGCAGTGTGACCACATCAGAGTGGCCACACTGCCATCTTCTCTTCACCTTCATTTATTCATGCGGGGGATTCTATGTTAAGAATCAAACGTTTGCACACTATGTATGAAATATAAAGGTCTACTTAAAAAATGAAGTTATTTCCGTAAGATACTTTTTTTTAAACAAAATCTATGGTGCTGTTAGACTTTTTAGTCCCTTAAACAATCTCATAAACACAAATCCTAACATCCCCATAACACAGCATGATAACGTTCATTAGAGTTTGGTAAATGGTAACTTGTTTCAAGCATTGCGCCCACAGTTTGTAATGCATGCTCTCTGCAAATGGGTCAAAATGTCAACTTCCGCAGACAACAGGAGGCAGTATGCTGTTTTCACAGGCATAGTAGTATTCAATGTAACACGTTAAATTACCTTTGTTTTTAAAACCCTTTAAAGGTGGGGTAGGTAAGTTTGAGAAACCGGCTCGAGATACACTTTTTGTTATATTCCATGGAATGCTCTTAACATCCCGATAGCAATGAATATCTTAAGTGCTTTGACAAAAAAATCTGTGGAAGCCGTAGTACTGTAAAAAGCTCGACCAATCATTTTAGCCGGCCCAGCTAAAATAACTGGATGGCCTACCTGCCTGTCAGCCTTCCATCTGTGCACAAACTTATCTCGTGCCCTCATTGGTCATGTGCACGTTCGTGTGTGTTGGAGGAGGGGCTCTGTAAGGAAGTGGCAGATTTCTTCCGGCTGTGTATTTTCAAATTCTAGCGCACTCCATACCCAAATCTCTAAAAAAGGGGCTGCAACGGATCTGATAAAAACCGATCCAGATTTGAACACTGTCCTGACGTCAGGACGGTGGCGCTACGGCTATTGGGCTAACTCCACCAATCAGGAGGAGACAGCCACGGCCATTGCCGTTCGAAAGCGCTGGAGACGCTGTAGTACATATGCCAGGCCTGTAAGTGGCGCTGTAGTCTGCCACAAAAGCAGCGAAGAAGACTTGGTTACCATGGTTACCCTTCTGTTTATTCTCCGCTGTGGCTTTTTTTCTCCCTCCCCGAGGCAAGCGTTTGCTCCTGCTGCTTTAATTCAATGCAATCCCTCCCCGTCGAGGCAAGCACTGTAATTATCTCCGGTTAGTCCACCAGCAGATGACAAACACCCACCTCTCCGCCTCTTCCAAGGAACGAGGGGACCGTGCGGCAGAGTTTCAGTTTCAGTTTGTTTCGCCGGTCAAGATGTCCGTTAAAGTTTAAATCTTCCGGACAAAATTAGAAAAGTGCCGGTCAAAGGTCTTCTTTGTTATTTATTGAGCTTTAAAACAAATGAATAACGACTCTATATAATAAAACACGGAGGACGGAGATCTCTTTTTCTCCCCCTCTTCTGACAGCCCAGCAGCTGATCAGAGCACGGCTCACCTCTCCTGCAGGGGGGCGTGGTCAGCAGAATCAGACCCGTAGACAGCAAACCGCACATAGAGCGAAATGAGGCATGGCTAAAATGCATGATCTGTTTGGTATTTTGAAAACGGAAAGGTATAAATATACCTTATATAGGTATGGCCCTACAATATATCATTTAAATATAGCATGATAGGTTTCCTTTAACATTTAATAACCACTGCTGTTTACGTCATTAAATTGTGTTTTTATAGGCAATTATTTTTGGGGGATGAATAATATCATCCATACTATTCCACAAAAAGGCATCCAAACAACACATAAAGTTGCGGAAATATTAACCCTTATGTTGTGTTCGGGTCTCCCGTGACCCGTTTCAAGTTAAAATTATATAATAACTACGCTCTAGTTTTTTTTTATCGGAACAAGGCTTCATGATATCCTCTAACAGCTATATAAACACTACAAAACAGATTTTGACAATTTTTGCCAAGTCTGAAGGTCTCTAAAAAAAAAAGTGTATCATTTGGTGTTCGGGTCTGGGAAGACCCAGCAGAATTGTTTTGGGTGACTCGAGGTCAAATTTGGCCCAATCAAGATTCATCTTTGACTTTAGACACCCCTCCCCCACCCCCTTCATCCACTGTAACAATAATTTTTTACAACATGCACCTGGTCTCCCCTCCCTCTTCCCCCACGGGAACTCAACCTTTCTCAAAGAAAATGTACACTTGAACTTGAACCTGAACACACACATGCACGTGTGCCATATGTGGTGTAATGTTTTTTGGGCCATAACATTAAATTACAACAGGATTGTAAGGTTATGAATGCATTATAAGTTAGTTATGATGTAGTTAAAACAATATTGGATGATAGTCATTTTTTGTGTGTGTTTTGGACAGAGATAAATCATGGGTCAAAATTGACCTGCGAACACCATGAACAGTAACAGCTTTTGAACACAACACAAGGGTTAAAATGTAATTAATGCCAAATCTCCTCCGGTCATAGATGCGTCAGTGATATTATAGGCTGTTAACCTTTTGATTTACGCATTCACACAGTCAGTGTTTTTTTAGGTATTCTTTCTACACTTACTGTAGCAGCTGCAACTATGTGTTAAGCAAATGTATCCTGATTGTTAATATACAAAACTTTACAATCAAATGCACACGTTTACCCTTTAATAGACAAGACACAGGAATATGATCCTAAGAAAAGAAAAAACGAGGTTATCATGAAGTTACCAGTAAATGTTTGCACGGAACTGTTTGTCACAATGTTTCATGGCGGATACAAACAGCGTTTGGTCCGTCAAGTAGTGCTGCAGGTGAAGCCAGGGTTGTGGTCAAATTGTCCAGGAATCCGCTCCTATCGTCTTTTCCTATCCACTATTCCTTGACCTCTGTGTGAACAGGGTTACACCATATTTTTAGGTGAGCAAAAGTATATGAACAGAGACTTAAAATAGTGTGAAAAGGGAATAATACTTAAAGGTGGGGTAGGTAATTTTGGAGAAACCGGCTCGAGAGCGCTAGAATTTGAAAATACACAACCGGAAAAAATCTGCCACTTCCTTACAGAGCCCCTCCTCCAACACACACAAACGCGCACATGACCAATGAGGGCACGAGATAAGTTTGTGCACAGATGGAAGGCTGACAGGCAGGTAGGCCATCCAATGATTGGTCGTGCTTTTTACAGTACCACGGCTTCCACAGATGACATTTTTTTATGGATTTTTTGTCAAAGCACTTAAGATATTCATTGCTATCAGGATGTTAAGAGCATTCCATGGAATATAACAAAAAGTGTATCTCGAGCCGGTTTCTCAAACTTACCTACCCCACCTTTAATATTGAGTTACAAATCCTTTGCTTGCAATAACTGCATCAAGCCTGCGACCCATTGACATCACCACATTTTTGCATTCTTCTTTTGTGATGCTTTTCCAGGCTTTCACCGCAGCCTCTTTCAGTTGTTGTTTGTTTCGGGGGTTTCTCTCTTCAGTCTCCTCTTTAGCAGGTATAATGCACACTCAATAAGGTTTAAGTCTGGAGATTGACTTGGCCAGACCTTCCACTTCTTTTCCCTGATAAACTCCTTGGTGGTTTTGGCAGTGTGTTTTGGGTTGTTGTCTTGCTGCATGATGAAGGATCTCCTGATCAGTTTGGTTGCATTTCTCCTTAAATTGGCAGACAAAATGTTTCTGTAGACTTCTGAGTTCATTTAGCTGCTGCCATCATGTGTTACATCATCAATGAAAATTAATGAGCTCATCCCAGAAGAAGCCATGCAAGGCCAAGCCATGACATTACCTCCACCATGTTTCACAGATGAGCTTGTGTGTTTGGGCTCATGAGCAGATCATTTCTTTCTCCACACGTTGGCCTTTCCATCACTTTGGTAAAGGTTCATCTTTGTCTCATCAGTCCATAACATTTTGTCCCAGAACTTTTGAGGCCCGTCTCTGTACTTTTTGACAAATTCAAATCTGGCCTTCCTATTGTCAATGCTAATGAGTGGTTTGCATCTTCTGGTGTAGCCTCTGTACTTTTCTTCCCAGTCTTCTGCTAACGGTGGATTGTGATACCTTCACTCCTGCCCTCTGGAGGTTAGAGCAGATTCTATTATGGTGCAGGGGCCCTCCTCTTTTTGACCACAGGGTGATGCACCTGCACCATGATGCACCCCAGGACCTGTGAATACAGAGCCCATAGCTGATGATGACGGCTATAGTGTTAAAGGTGACACTGGTATAATAAGTGTGAACTCTTAATAATTATAGTAATATTTATTCTTATTTTATTAAATTAAGATTACTCCTTGATTGAGTTTTGAAAATGTGTATTTTAGCCATAAAAATTGTTGTATTTACATGTGTGCAGTCTTCATCTAAAAGCCCAAATAAATTATTAAAGGGTGTAAATGTGAATTCAATATTGAGTGTCTTCAGACAATTTTGAATCTTCAGTGGCGATCCGTCTCTGAGGGCCTAAGATATTCTAAAAAATAATATTTGAAAACATTTATTTTTATTTTTCCAATATTATTTTTGTTATATTTTTCATTAGTTTTACCAAAATAACTTGATTTAATTGCATTTAAAATAACATTTCCAAAGAAATAAATCCTTCGAATCTGCCTGTTCAGTTTCTGTTGGAATGTGAAGGGTTAAATGAAAGAAGCTCCTTTGGTGGTCCTGCTGTAAATTCACAGAGGGCCCGCTATAGTAACTCAACGAGAGAGTAATGTCAAATGACAGTACAATTGACCAATCATATCTTCCCTCTAAATGGGTGGGCTTTATTTTCGCGGACTTTATGACAAGTTCC